GTTAAATCTGGAGAATTAAGAGAGTTAAATCTGGAGAATTAAGAGAGCTAAATCTGGAGAATGAAGATAATTAAATCTGGAGAATGAAGAGAGTTAAATCTGAAGAATGAAAAGAGTAATGAAGATATGGTGCATTTCTAGAAATTTGTTTGTCTGTTGCTTTGCAAAATAATATAAACAAAACAAAACAAGATAAAACATTAAAAAATAAAACAAGAAAGCTATATTAGGTAACATAAAAATAAAATAGCATAGTAAATTCCATTCTTGTGTGACATATGCATATAAATACACAGGACAGAATTTATGGTTTAAAAGAATTGTTGTCTTCCAAAGTCTATAAATAATGGTGAATAGCTCTCCAAATATGCACATTTTTTATGTTTCTGATTTGATTTTTGATGATTCTTACAAACTTTTGACATCATGAAATGGCAGTTTGGGGAAATGGGGACTAGTTTAACTCAGACTCATCAGGAGTTTTATAAAAATTGAATCAGAAACAGGAAGTTGTTTTCTCTGCATTGTTCACAGCTAACTTTGTCAATCAGTTATGAAATTCTCCCGTTAGAGTTTGGAATATCTTGGCACAGTTTATTTGTATATACATAATCTTGGCTCTAAAGTTTGCTTTAGCCCTCTTCATCCCTCACTGTCCTCCCCTGAAATTGCTCTCCTACTTTCAGCTCTGACGGGGTGGGGTGGTGGCTAATTTCAGCATTTTCTCAGCGGTGGATTTTTCCCAGATAATTTCCACTTCTTTGTACTTATTTCTGCTTCTTTAAGCCTAATTGGGTAAAACTGTGCTCCCTCTAATTCCTTCTGCTAATTTAAGCTTGTTCTACATTTTCAGATAACTTTTTAGCGTGTTATCTCATTTCAGCTGTTTTCAGATAAATTCAAGTTTTTCATGGTAATTTCTGCTAATTTCAGCTTATTTATGCAAGTTTCAGCTTTTTCTTTCTATTTCTGCTAACATTTAGCTGTTCTTATGCTAATTTTAGCAATTTCAGCTAATTCCACGTATTTTGCACTCATTTAAACTTTTTCAGCCTAATTCAGAAAAAAAAATGCTGTCTCCACTTGCTTCTAGTATATAATTTAAGCTTCTTTCTGCCTTTTTAGATACTTTTCAGCTTTTTTTGTTGCTAATTTCAGCTTTTTTCAGATAATAGCCACTTCTTTGTGCTTCTGCTTCTTTAAGCTTAATTGGACAAAATTGTGCCCTCTCGTCTAATTCATTCTGCTAACTTTAGCTTGTTCTACCTGTTCAGAAAACTTTTTAGAATGTTATCTCATTTCAGCTGTTTTCAGATAAATTAAATTTTATCGTGGTAATTTCTGCTAATTTCAGCTTAGGCTCTTTTTAACTTATTTCTGCTAAATTCAGCATTTTTTGTTATTTCAGCTTCTATTTAGCTGTTTTGTGCTAAATTTAGCTTTTTCAGCTAATGCCACATTTTTTTTAGCTCATTTCAGCTCCTTCTACTTCCTTCTGGTAGCTTAAGCTTCTTTCTGCCTTTTCAGCTAGTTTTCAGCTTTTTTCAGCCTTTTCAGCTAATTTTCTAATGATGGGGCTAATTTCTTCTAATTTAATCATAATTCAGCAAATATGTGTACTTTCTATCCTGATGCCTGCTCAATAATCCAGGTGGAAAAATCTAAAAATGTTAAATCTGGTCCTCTGGAGACCCCATAGCACATGGGTGTGCTATGGGGTCTCCAGTTTCTCCTGTTGTTGCCAACCTGTACATGGAGGAGGTAGAAAAGAGAGCCTTGACGTCCTTTTCAGGGACACCACCAAGTCATTGGTTCAGGTATGTTGACGACACCTGGGTTAAAATTAAATCTCAGGAAGTCCAACATTTTACTGACCACATCAACTCTGTGGATAAATACATCAAGTTCACACGAGAAGATGTAAAAAATGGCAGGTTGGCTTTCTTGGACTGTGAGGTCTCAGTCTCTGATAGAGGACATTTGCAAACTGAGGTGTACCGCAAACCCACCCACACAGACCAGTATTTGCAGTTTGACTCCCATCACCCTTTGGAGCACAAGTTAGGAGTCATCAGGACTCTGTACCACAGAGCAGACAGCGTCCCCACTAGCTCAGGAGCCAGGCAGAAGGAGAAATCCCACACAAAACAGGCTCTAGAGCAATGTGGATATCCTAACTGGGCCTTCCTGAAAGCAGAGAAGAAACCCAAACAGGACTCCAGTCAGCCATCAGGTGAAAAGGAGGAACCCAGACCAGTGGTCATTCCATATGTTGAGGGAGTATCAGAGAAACTGAGACGGTTATTTTCTAAACATAACGTCCCAGTGGCTTTTAAACCCCAAAATACATTAAAGACTGGTTCATCCCAAAGATCCAGTCCCCCGGCACAATCAGAGTAATGTTGTGTATGCTGTTCAGTGTCAGGAGGGCTGTGATCAGTCTTACATCGGGGAAACAAAACAGCCACTGGCCAAAAGGATGGCCCAGCACAGAAGATCAACATCATCAGGCCAGGACTCTGCGGTCTACACTCATCTCCAGGCCAGCGGTCACTCTTTCAAGGATGAAGATGTTCTCATCCTGGACAGAGAGGAACAATGGTTTGAGAGAGGAGTAAAGGAGGCCATCTTTGTGAAAAGAAATCGTCCATCATTAAACAGGGGTGGAGGCCTCCGGGTTCAACTGTCCCCCTCTTACAATGCTGTGATTGCTAGTATCACTCAGCCCTCTGTGAACAGTAAACAGCCATCAGTGTGCTAATGACCCATTGTTAGGCTGATGGTCCTTCTTGAGCATGTGAGCAGCTGGTTTTGGTTGTCAGCAGCAAAACTGGTTGATCCACTCTGAGAAGGTGCTATTTAAGAGACTGAGCTGAATACAGCACCTCAGACTGAAGAAGTCTCTTGGATGAACGACGAAACGTTTCTACATTTTTTTTTTTTTGTTGTTGTTTTGTTTTGTTTTGTTTTTTGAATGTCCAGAGGGCCAGATTTAACTTTGTTTAGATTTGTACTTTCTGCTTTCTTCTGTTAACTTGGGCTTGTTCTTCAATTTCAGCTGTTTTTAGTAGGTCCTTCAGCAATAAGCATTCACACTGAATTTTTGCAGAAAATGCCATTTCTCTAGTAATAATAATAATAATAATAATAATAATAATAATAATAATAATAATAATAATAATAATAATAATAATAATAATTATTATTATTATTATTATTATTATTATTATTATTATCATCATTATTATTATCTTGATCATCATCATCCATCCAGCCATCATTATATTATTATTAATATTATTAATATTATCTTCATCCATCCATCATCTATTATTATTATTATTATTATTATTATTATTATTATTATTA